AGGTGTTACTTGATGTTGGTATCTGGCCTGTCATTGGTAGTGGGTGATACATTCTATGGTTGCTATTACCCTCTCTGGATCCTATGGCTTTGGCATCTCTGATAAATGGTATTTCTGAAGATAGGTCATTGGCAGAAGGAAATGGAGATTGGCTAGTTAGAAAGACTGTGAGAAGTAGTTAGGGGGAAGCAGAGGCCCTGGGGAATGTAGGTTTGGCAGAAGGAGGGTCTCCTGAATAGAGGCAGCAGCGATATGAATAAGCCTGAAGAGACAGGGGTGAATGGGCATGGGGAACCCGGGTTATGTAACAAAATGGGGAATGGCAGGTAAATGGAGTTTGATTCAGAAGAGGGCCTCCTGCAAAAGGTTGCTACAGGACTAGGAATAAAGTCTGGAGAAAGCATAACTGAGTCCAAACCAGTGTAATCCACTGGGGATCCCTGGTAGAATGTGTTTGTGGGAATCTATGTCTCACACAAATTAATGAATGTGGAGTAAAGGTAAGGTTGAAAGGGTCAGCAAGAAAAACTTAGCTGGGTCTGCAGCAAGTAGAAGAGTCCCCAGGAGGTAGGACAAGAGGAACGACTCCTAGAAGGAGACAGCTACAGGACTGTGAGAATGGATAAATGGTAATGGCAGACAGGAAAGAGTGAATAATGCCCACATGAGTCACATGCCTGTGCCTGTAGGGGCTCCAGGTATTGTTGGACATGGTTGGTCAAGGAGACGATGATGTATTAGTGTGAGTGGGTGGCAGAGTGGGTCTTGTGAGAACAGAGTACAGTGGGTGGCAGTGGTGGTTGTGCAGTCTACCCACAGGTCTCTCAAATTCTGGCCTGCTGTTAGGGTCTGCACCAGAGCAAAGGGTCTGCACCAGAGGTGAAATCAGTGTCCAGCTGCTTCACTGGGTCTGAGATAGGAGAGGGAATTTTATATTATTTAACTGTGATTTCATCATGGAATGTCAATATTTTATTTCTTCATTTTTTAAAAAATTCATGTTAGAAACAATCTTGCTTCACATGTCAATCCCAGCTCCATCTCCCTGCCCTCTATAGGCTCCTTAATCCCCCCACTAGGCTCTCTAGTCCCCCACCCAATCTCCATTCTGATCTCCAGGGAGAGTGAGGCCCTCCATGGAGGATCTTCACAGTCTGTCATTTTATCAATGGCAAGGCTAGGCCCTCCTCCAAGTGTCCAGGCTGAGAGAGCATCCCTCATTTTGGGATAGGAACCCAAAGTCCATTTGTATGTCAGGAATAAGTACTACCCAAGGCCGCATAGATTACCTAGGCCTCGTCACTGACACCCACATTCAGGGGGACTGGATCAATCTCGTGCTGTCCACCCAGCCATCAGTCTGGGGTCCAAGAGCTTGTCCCCTTGTCAGGGCAGCTGTTTCTTTGTTTTAAGCCAGCCCATTCTTAACCCCATTGTTCATCAGTTCTCCCTTTTTGTCACTGGATTCCAGGAATTCAGTTCAGTGTTTAGCTGTGGGTGTGTGCCTCTGCTTCCATCAGTCACTGAATGAAGGTACTTTTTCACAGGCTCTCTTTCTCCATCTCTCATTTAAAATTTTAATTGAGTGTAGTGGTCTGGGTGGCATCTGTAGTCTCTTAGAGTTTGTAGAGCAATCTACCAGTGTCTTACTGATTCAGAATCTTCATTGAGAAGCCAGCTGTTATTGTAATAGGTCTGCTCTCTTTATGTTATTTGGCCTTTTTCTTTGCAGCTTTAATAGTCTTTCTTTTTCTGCATTTTCAGTGTTTTGGTTATTATGTTCTTGATTTCTGGTTGTGTCTCTTTGGTGTTCTGATATGCTTCTAGTACTTTGAAATGAACATGCTTCTTTATGTTTTGGAAATTTCTCTTATGGTTTTGTTTAAAATAATTTCTGTGTCCTTACAGGGTTTCTTCTTTTTCCTCTATTCCTATTATTCTTAGATTAGATATTTTCAGAGTGTCCCAGATTTCCTGTGTGATTTGTTTCTGACTTTTTTACATTTAGCATTTTCTTTGATTGGGACATCTCTTATTTTCCTATCTTGTCTTCAATATTTGACATTTTCTCTTGCATCTCTTGTATTCTCTTGGTTAAGCTTGTCCCTGTAGTTCTTTTCTAAGTTCCTAAATTTTTCATTTCACATCTCACCTTAGTATAGGTTTTCGTTATCATATTCCATTTTCATTTTCATGGCTTGAACTGTTTTCTTCAGTTTATTCCACTGTTTATTTTTATATTCTATGAAGGCTTTCATTTGTATATTCTTTAAGCACCTCAAATGTATATTGATGCTATTTGGAGTCCTTAATTTGTGCTTCAGCTCTATTGCATTACTCTGGGACTATTATATTACTTTGCTGAATACTGGAGACTACATACTGTTCTGTCTGTCATTGAGCAGATATTTACACTGGAGTGTAAGCATCTTGACCTGAGATGATTGTCATTTTAGATGCTGACATCTGGTCTTGTCTTTCTTGGGTGAGTGTTTTGATACTTGATTTCAGGTTTCTTCATTGGTTCTTAGTAGCCTGAGGAGGCGGCTGTGGGATGCCTGGCAGGAAATGCTTCTGCGTTACATGGGTGGCCAAGTTGGGTTCTGGGTACAATGTGATTTTAGGTATTGGGAACTATTAGAATTAATATGGGCTAGAAACGGGAGTTTACACAGGTAGGAAGAAAGCAGAGTATGCTAAAAGGATCTGCCTAGACCCTAGAGAATTTAGGCAGTGTAGCTCCAAAGGACGCTGTAATGATAAGCGACACTTACTGAAAGTAAAACTAAGTATTTATTGTAGAAATTACTCACAAGATACCAAACAAGTAACCCAGAGGAGCCAAGTAGTTTTCCTGCTGCCGAACCGGAAGCCGAACTCCGGGAAAAAAGACCGAGACTTCCTGTGTGCTGTCTTTTATGCCTTCCCCTGTAACGCCCCCTAGCCATGCCCAAAAGTGGGCCTGGCTAGTGACGTAGTTCACCGCCTATGTACATATACGTCTTTACGTCCGGCCGTATACGTCTTTAGTCATGTCTAAAGTGGGTGTGGTTAGCGGTGTGGTAAACCGCCCTTTTATTACCTCATCTGTATGTGCCTCTAGTAAGTCACATGTTTAATGGTGGCATACAGACTTCCTCCTACAAGGCAGACAAGGAATAGAGAACACAACAGTTAGTCTGTACAGATATGAGGAATAGGGTGGTATATTGGAATTGAATGACAGAAGGAAGAATGAAGATGCCCACCTGATTCCATGAACTGGATAGTTTGTAGATTTCCAGGAAATGTTTTTGGATCTGACAGGTGGGACAAAGGTATGTGTTCCTGAGGGAGGCTATAAGAGAACTACTTGCCTGTTCCACTTGAGGTAGAAGCAGAGAGTTTCTTTGCTGTTTAATGACTCATGTTTCTGTGCAAAGCTAATTATCGTCATTCAATGTCAGTAATTGAATTGAAAATCGTATTATATAAAAGAAGCCCAGGATCATGGTGAATATGACTAGTTTATTAAAATTTAAAAGAAATTCGTTCCAATTTAAGAAAAACTATTTTTGGTCAAAGCAAATTAGGAAGCATTTACATTTACCTGAACATGTTGAGAGACAATAGTATAATTTCCCTTTGTTTAGAATAACTACAGCTCCATAACATATCCAAGGGCAGTGTTGACTAAAATTGATAGTACATAATGAAAAAGTCTTTGTGTTTCCTTTTCCCAAGATATTTTCCTGTTATAGGAAAGTCATGCTTTTATATAGTAACATATTTTTTAGCCAACATTACCTTAAATTGTACATATGTTATTAACGTTTCCATTAATTATACAATTCAAACTTGGCAACAGATATTGTAAATGTGCTTTTTATTAAAATATTTATTAAAATTTACATAGTAAATGGAACCATTAAAAACAAATTTGCAATTCTGAACAATGTACCTTCCAGAAACATAAAATTTTGAAATATTAAGAAATATTTTTGAGTTTGTAAAGTTTATGTTTATATCTACAACTGCATCAATACCACCTCAAATAAACCACATGGAATCAATCTCATGTTCTTCTCCCTTTGTTCTACATTCTACAGTGACTTGTTGCAGCTTCCTGGACATTGTGAACACAACAATCTTTAAAGTAGGGGAGGACGTCAGACACTAAAAAGGCCAAGAGCATTTTGAGTCCCACCCATTTCATGCTTCATTAGTGGATTTTAATTCATGCCAATCCTAATCCATGAACTTTAATTCTCTTACTTCAAACAGCAGGCTCACTATACTGACAGCTCAAATGGGGACTTAAATTGAAAAAATTAATTAAAGTAGCATGCATAGTGTATAAAATAATTAAACACGGTAGAAAGCAATCCAAGTGTTATCTGGGAATGGTAAGTATCATTCTTCTGTGGGTATTGTAATACATTTCATTGATTTGTTTAAGTATTTTAAAAATAAGATTATAATATAAACCCAACAGCTCTCACTTCACTCCCTCCTTCACAAGTAACCACCCTTAGTCTGTTTCAAATTCTTTGCCTTTTTCTCGAATTGCTGATAGGTCTCCTGCAGTCAAAATTGCTTCTTTGACCAATGAATAGGCCCACTGAGCTTTCCCCTACCACATCAGCATGTCTATTCACATCTTCCTGGTTGACTGACTGTTCAGGCAGCCTGGATCGCTGTTATTTCTAAACCCAATTTCAGCAGAATTGTCCCCTTAAAATGGTTTATATTCATAGCTTTTATGTGTTGATTATACTAGCATTGTAAAATGTAGTACAACAGTGTGCACCAGTCATCCCTAGAAAAGTTTTATCTCTGCTCCTTCAAATTTTGTTGCATATCAAAACAATACCCATCACAATTTGTTCAACCCAGTGACCACCAATTCATCATGTAATATTATGAAGTATAAGTTAGTAATAATGTGTGATACATTAACTGGGATTTATATGTACAGCTAAAATATAGATATATAGTGAATTTATAAAGAATATCAATGATTAGAATGCCCTGCTAAGAATTTTCCTTAAGGCGGTTTTAATATCCTTGTTCCTCAGGCTGTAGATGAAGGGATTCAACATAGGTGTGACCTCAGAATACATCACTGTGGCAACTGCATTACTTCTTGGAGATTGTGATAGAGAAGAGCTGAAGTATACTCCTAGTCCTGTTCCATAAAACAGGAAAACAATGGACAAATGAGACCCACAGGTGGAGAAGATTTTGTGCTTCCCACTTGATGATGATGATCTCATGATGGAGGAAACTATTTTAAAGTAAGAGAAAAGGATTCCTGAAATAGGAAGTAACCCAAAAAGAGTGCCTATACAATATCGAACTATGTTATTGGTGAAAGTATCAGAACAGGAGAGTTTAAGTATTTCAGAAGGGTCACAGAAGTAGTTGGAAATTTCAAAAATATCCTCACAGTTAGAAAAATTTAATATTGCCACATAATGTAAGAGCAATTCCACAAGACTAAGGAAAAAAGACCCTAGAAGTAAGACACCACAGCGACTGGGATTCATAATGACCTGGTAATACAGAGGATGGCAGATGGCCACAAACCTGTCATATGCCATCACTGCCAGAAGCATGTCATCCATACATGAAAAAATTACAAACAGTGACATCTGTGTCAGGCATCCCACATAGGAGATGACTTGGCATCGAGTCTGGATGTTCATAATCACCCTTGGAACAGTAGTGGAGATAAAACCAATATCAACCATGGAGAGGTTGGAGAGGAAGAAGTACATAGGGGTGTGCAGATGGGAGTCAGAGCTTACTGTCAGGATGATAAGCAGGTTTCCAAACAAGGCCAACATGTACATGGACAAGAACAGGCCGAAGAGAACAGTCTGTAGGTCTGGATCTTCTGAGAGTTGAATGAAATGGAATTCTGGTGCAGATGTTGTATTCTGCAGGTTTTTATTTCTTGAACATCTTTTGGAGGAAACCAAAATTGTTGTTAACAATGGTACCACCTTGTATGTAGATGTTCTTTACAATTTGAATCAAGTAAATACAAATATTGATATTTTCTCAACCTTATTGTGGCATCCTTAGTAATTACTCTGTTGTGTCAAATGCCATTCTGCAAATACTCTTTTATTCATACCTCATGTGCTACTTCTCATGAGAGCCATACTGAATAATCTAGATGATGTGAGATTTACTGTAAATTGTAAGTCTACAGACACAATAAAATAAATCAAACATCTTTAAGACAACTAAGTATTTTGTAGAAGACTTACTGTAGGCAAACTGTCAAACGAAATGAAAATTTGAAACCCTTAAACACAGGTCTTTTTATTACAATAACATGGAACAAGTATATTTTTCTTAGGGTATATATGACAGTGTAAAGTCCTACTCACTAAATACCAACTAACTCAGAAAATCAATTTAAGTTTCCAGTATCTTGTATAGGTTTCAGTTTTTCCTTTGATTTAAAAATATGTTCTCCATTTCTTGTTTGGGGATTTAAATAAGCTTTTGTTTAAATTTATTTAGATTTTTAAAATCAATTAATATGCATATTCTTTATTTTTCTTAGTATATTTCAAAGTTTGTGTCTAATTAAATAAACATTATCACAGAAAACAACTTTTTTCTGTTTGTTTTTATTTTTTGTTACATTTTTCAAACACAGTCATCCCTCCCATCGCTCCTCCCAAGCCTTTCTCCTCAACACTAGTCCACCCCAGTCCACTGCTCCTCACAGGTAAAGGCACAGTAAGTTGTAGTAGTGCCAGGCTCCTCTCCCATTCTCTAAGGCTGAGCATGGCATTCAACCAAGGGAAGTAGGCTCACTGAACATGGCAGCCCACCCTAAGGAATGGGGTCCAACAATCTAATTTATGTACTAGGTTTGTAATGTGTTTCTACTGTCAGGGCCCCTGAACTACTCCAAGCTTCACAATATCACAGAACATCTCTGTTAACAACTGCTAAGATATACACTGGTGTGAAAAATAGTGAAAGGTCATTAAGTACAATTGAATCATTATGCTGCAAAGATTATTTGGGGAGATCATGTCCACATAATCACAATAAAATATTTGTATAACAACATGATCTACAAAATGCCACTAATTTTCTGAAGCCTAGCCAGGTTGTACCAGACACCAAGATTCAGTCCCCTCCTCCTCAGACAGTAAAGTGATTCCCATGTGAGTCAGGCCTGCTGCATATGTATCCATGTTCTTGCTTCAGCTACAGAGGAAATTTCAGGTTCAATTTTACATCAGAGAACACTGAATTGCTCAAATTGTAAAAGGTTCAAAATGCAGAAAAGATTAGTGAAAGAAGAACATGGACATTACTCTAATGGAACTGAAAACCTCTTTTCTGCTTTACACTATAAACTGTTGAATTATGATATAAACGTCATCTGCATTGCATAATTTTTTCCACGTAACACGTGAAATACATCCTCCTAACATGTGACATTAAAATGGCGAAACCTAAAAAGTAACACTTCTTCCAAGATAATACAATATGAGATGCACTCACATATTGAATACATTTCTATTTGTCTCCAATGGTTAATACTGTGAATCAAGAGAACATTTATGACTCTTTCCATAGCCACATGCTCATATAAACATCAGGATAACAACTCATCTATATTTGGAAAATGACACTACTTGCATTGTATTTATTTGTACAATTTGAAAATCTTATAAATATGCAAAACACAAGTTTTTTGGGGAGTATTTCCAAATGATACTGGATGATATAACACAAAAATTTTTATGCCTTTACATTCTGTTATCTTCATGTGAGAACACATACAACTATTTATAATAACCCAATACTGTAGCTATTTAATACGATTAGATGACTGAAACGTTCATAACACAGAATCAAAGAACAAAAAAATTGATCTTGCATCAATTGCTAGAACACCTTGCTGAACTGAATGAAAATGCAAAGGAACCAACATGTAGAAATTGATGTTCTGAGAAGAAAAAGGGTCAACTTAATATCTGACACTTTTATTGCTCATTTCACATGTGTGCCAATGACTTTTTATGCTCTATGAAACCAAAAATTCAACATTAGAATTTGTAATGTATATCAATATACAAAAATACATATATGAGGAAGAAAGTACATACAAAAAATATTTACTAAAGCTTCATCATATGACAGTTAAGGTGTCTCAGATTTACTGATAACATCTCAAAATTCACATAAATAAATAGCAGAGACAAAATAATTCAAATGTGTCATTCTTTGATTCTGGTGGGTTTTTTGTTTTTTGTTTTTTGGTTTTCTTTTGGTTTTTACGAGACAGGGTTTCTCTGTATTGTTTTGGAGGCTATCGGTCCAGGCCGGCCTCGAACTCACAGAGATCTGCCTGGTATCTACCTCCCGAATGCTGGGATTAAAGGTGTGTGCCACCACTGCCAGGCATCTGGTGTGTTTTGATTTGACTTGGCCTTACTTCTCTATTTGATTATTTTTATATTTCAAATTATAATTCAGTAACATCTCTTCCTTCAATTTCACCTCGTCAAAATCCCTATATAACTCACCCCACTCTATGTCACATTCATGGTTCCTTTGTCCATTCATTATTTCATAACTAAATGTTTTAGTTATGAACAGTGATTAGCTGAATCACTGTCTAATGGCCAGAAAGGTGTTAGTTTTTAAGTTCCATATTAATGTAGGACAACCTGAAAACTGAGAATAAAAAAAAATCGACCTTGAAAAGGTCAATGCAAATTGACAAAAATGTGCATTGTGTTTATTTGTCTAAATTTTAAATCCTGTAACTACAAAAAATGAGTTTATTGGATAGTATTCCCAAAGGATTCTGAACCATAGAATTATGTGAAACTCTAAAGTGAGTCTTCACACCATGCACAAAACTCATTTTCCATTTCTTTTTATACCTCTACATTCTTTTTTATTCAGGTAAGAATATGTACAATTATTTTTGTAAATTCTGATAATGCAGCTTTGAAATATCACAGGTGACACAAACAGACAATGACATGAAATCAAACACCAAAAAAATTATATAGATCAATTTCTAGGTCACATTCCTGAATAAAATGAAAATATACAAGCAACCAAATACATGGGTGTCATTGTTTTAGGAGGACAAATTGGCAAGTTAATCAGAAAAATATGTATTGTGCATTTCACATCTGTGACAATGACTCTTTACATGCTATGAGATCAAAAACTGAAAGTTAGAGGTAATAGGTGATATCAATATACAAAAAAAATCATATACAAAGAGTAAACTACAAAAATATAATTAGTTAAAACATGGTTTTATGATACTTAATGTGTCTCAAAATTAATAGTAAAATGTTCTAGTTCACATAAATAAATAGCAGAGAATAAATAATTGAAAACAACTATGTCATTGTTTTTTCTGAAGTGGCATGTTTTGCTTTTACTTTATATTTGATTTTTAAATTTCAAATTATTATAAAGTAACATTTCCTATGTCCATTTCATCTCTTCTAATCCACTATATAACTCACCCCACACTACTTCACATTCATAGCTTCTTTATCTATTCATTGCTATTTCATTGATATATGTATATTTTCATGGAAAATTATTCATATAGTTTTAAGGAGAGACATAAAGTTCTTAACAACATGTATCTTTTTGAGCTTGCGTGTTTTCAAACTGCAGATGACACGGGGAACTGACCTCATTTTCTCATTGAAAACTTTGTGGCTGACCCTCACCGTGATGGAGGATGCTGGCAACAAAATTATTCGAGAAAATAGAATGCAGTATTTGTAGATCTATGAATCAGGAACTTCAGAGGGTGAGAACAAATATGCATCAAGGAAACTAGAAAAGCTTGAGTTGAATCATTATTTCAATATTTTGAGACTGTTCCAAATGAACCTTGACTATATAACCCACAGTTCACACAGCAGATTCTATACATTCTATAAATACACATTACAGAGAAAATTATAATTTGGAATTTGGGAGATCTATCAGATGAAGTAAGATCCATAAAATTTAGAGATCAGATCTTCTACCAGGGAAGACATTAATAGTCACATGCACATCATATCTTTCTTCAAAAGTATAGTTACTGAATCCCCCTCACCAGCATGCCCACAGTACTTTACATTGATTATGAAATAACATAGTTGGACATATTTTCTGCTCCCATTGGTCATAGGAGTATGGGGAAGAGACACTGAAAATAAATCCATGAGATCTGTGGACTACTATTGCAACTAAGATTATAAAAATCCCAGTACAGAGACTCAAATTTTTATTGCAGTTGTTATATAATTATGGTACACAAATTCTCATAGTTCCTATGATATCTAAGAAACGAGCACTCTTGTAATCTTGTCTTCATACACAATTCCCTCAGAACTTACATAAATGAACTGAGGGCCTGTGTGGTCATAATGAAGGGTGGGGAATATGATGAACCTCCCCTGCTTGTTGACTGATGATGACACAATCTCACACTCGAATCCTGAAAAGGATATAATAGCAAGAGCTTCCTGATGCAGAACACTGTAGGAAGAGCAAACAGGGTTATACAATCCTGTATTACAGAGATCAAGCTGGTGATGACCTAGAGGGACCTGCTGCCAAATTAAAATTAATAAACATTAGAAACTCAATGCACAGAGCTGATGAAGACTCATATTGGTCCCCAATATTGAAATCTCTAAGGAATTGCTGGGGTGAATGGAGGAAACAGAAGAGATGCTGAATGTTCTCCAGAGGTTATTTTTGAGGTTATTATAGACATACTAAAATTTTCATTTCCCATTGTATTTCTGTTTGGATTTCCATTGGTAATTCTATTTTTGTTTTT